ACAATTCAGAAAATCAGACAAGTTACTGAAGCGCTAAGAATAACAATTCAATTAGTTATCACTCATTAAAGCACAAACACATCGTGCAGATACTGATTTAATCTATTCCAATTTCTCGAGAATTTTACCAGTATTCTAAGTTCTTAGGCCACTTGAACTAAATATTCTAGGATAACTTAATATTCAAATAGCTTACCAGCCAATTAAATCTACTTCCGTCTCTTGTAAAAGAAGCGGTCAATTTCTCTCAAACACAAACTCCATATGATTTCTAGGCTACATTCAGAAACACTCAAGGTTTCTCTCAGTTATCGTCTATGGGCGAGACATTTCCTTTTACAACTCTTTTTCAATTTAAACATTCATAATCACATACTGAGCTACCCTAATTTCTAGACAACTAAGTATCAGTTTATTAGCAAAATACAAGTACACATCAAATATTTTATGACAGCACAATCCCATTTATCTGACCGGCCTGGCAACATCCAGAATTTGGGATAACTGGGCATTTGGACTAACAAATGTGCAATAGAATGTAGTGCTAGACGCAAGGGGGAATAAGAAGAGGAGGTGGCAGGGGTAGGTCAAAGCTGTGCTGCGGCATGATGGCTGTCCCCAAAATGCTGCATGGACAGAGCCCAAAAAGAGAGGCAGAGAGGAGGGTGGAGGAGAGAAAACGGGAAGGAACAACAGAGGAGACAGGGAAGGAGGGGGGAGAAGCTGCAGGAGATGGGAGTCTTGCTGCTTGAGCATTTCCCAGCACTGACAGCATGACCTCAAGAAGTAACAAAAGAGGCTCCTGTATCCTGTGATTATTCCCCTGCTTTATTTCCTTCCCTTTCTCTCTCCTCTACCCTCCTCTACCTCACTTTTTTCTTCTTCTTCCTGCCCTGTCTCTTTCCCTTTACTCCTGTCATGTGTCTCCCTTTATCCTTTCTCACCTTGAACACTTCTCCTTTCAATATTCACCTTAACCCCCTTCATCTGTTTCTTTCTTGTTTGGTTTTAATCACCCTCCCCACCTTTTCTCCTTTTCCTCCTCTCTAACTCTTGAAATCCTCCCAAATCGCAGCTCTCACTAACTAATGTTAGTTCAGCAGTGGGTGATTAACTAACACAGCACTACGGGGGTGAGAGACACACTGGGCATTTGGAAAACTAGGATTGCTGGATACAGGGAATTCGGATAAGTGGAATTATCCTCAAATTGTTTTTAACTCAGGTAATTTTAAAATAATCAAGTTTTTATTTGGGAAAACAAAATGCGTGGAATTTTGCTACTTATCCATTAAAACTGGCATGAAGGCATGTTCTCCAGCTCTGCATCACAGTGGCCCTGGGTGGTTTCTCGAGATAGCAAGAAAATTCGTTCAGGTAGTTCATTCAGTGAAGGGGTTATGACAACTTTGTTCTATTTCTCTTTCTGGATTTCACAGCCATCTTCCTAGATAGAACTTTAAAGGAAGAGTTAATAGGGGGATTATAAGGGAAATGACTTTAGTATTTACCGGACTGGGAACACTCTCAGTAGCCAGGTGATGACAGTCCCGCTCACCGTCTCTCTCATCCAGATATATGAGCATCAGGGAGAGGTGATTTGACCTGAACAGCTTCTTTTATACTGTTTCTGGGGGCTTGTTTTCTTCCTGGCATAGCCACTGTGGGCCAATCAGAAAGTGACTCCTGAACCTGACTGGATGTTGGAATTCTTGCAGTTTCTTTTTGTGTTGGGAAAATTCCATGGTATTCTTGCAAAACATCTTGTGCCATCCCAGATTGTGTAAAATATATTAGGCCATAGAGGTTTGTGTAAAATGTCTTGGGACATACAACGAACACCTGCTAGTTTAGCTCTGATCAGCAACTTACTTCTGCAGGCCACTTCCAATCGACTTCACTGCCGTGCAGTTCTTGGCCAACTTGACATGTCTCTGTCCTTTCCCCTGTGGCAGTTTCTCTGTCAGCACTTTGAGCTAACAGCAGAAATGTCAATTTATGTAAAGCCCTTTCATATTCTTTGATGATTCTGTTTTTCATAGTTCATCAATGCTGCAAGAAAGTCATTTTTGATTCATTTGCTTCATTTACTACTAATAGTGTTGATAACTATCAATATTAAGAGAATGTACTCTACATGGTTCTGTACCAGTAGTTATGTAATCTCTACATTTTATTAGTGAGATTGTGAGATTGCACCATATGTATAAAAATACTAATAAATAATACTAGTAATTGTTAAGAATAATGAAATTAAGGTGCATCGAGCCCTGTGGTTGTTTTTGTCTTATAACATATTATCTGAATTCACCTTTCAGATTTTCCCTTCAAATGTATCACCGTCTTTAATATAAACCAAATATGTTGTTACCTTTGTTACAATTAGTTAGACATTATAGCTGGCACAGGTAGCAACATCTAAGGTTGAGGTTACACGACACTTTCTTTTATATGCCTCTGTTTTCAGTTACTTAGAACTTTGCCGAAGTTAAAATGTTTAAAGTTTCCTGTGCCAGGCTGAAAGAAGGGCATGTGCATTGCATGGAGAATGTTTTTTTGTTTGTTTTTGTTTTCTTTTTGAAAGCACTAATCCTGTATCAAACTCTGCTGAGGAAAACAAGTGGGAAAATGGGCATTTTGATATTTTAGCCATATCTGAATGGATCTCCATGGATGCAACAAAGGAACCTCTCTGGCTTCAGAGCTGTTTGCCTACCAAATATCACATTTCTGCTGCAATCCATGGAGGCTTTAGAATACTTCATAAATAAAGACTTGGAAAAAGTTTAAGAATAGAAAGAATTAGGCTTGGCTGGCCAACTTAGTCCTCCTCTTTCCTCACAGGTGCTGATGCTCTATCTGAGTCCCATTCAGCTGCTGAGGGCACCTCAGAACCTGCCCTTAATTGGCACCTGGCTGTCACACTGATGACCACACCTGGGTTTGAGAATGTAGGTGACATAGGCACGGATGGGCAAAGAGCACCAAATAAAACAACAATCACCCCCTGCAGAAAAAAACAACAATTGCCTCTTCTTCCGTTCTGCTGCCAATAAACCCCACCGTGGCCTCTGTTCAGAACCGATTGGACACTGGAGTGAAACATGACCAAAGTTTGAGGAAGATTCACCTATCCTAATGCTTTACTGCCCTGTAGATATTTAACCCAGGTGATTGCAGGTTAATTGCAAGGGAGAAAATAATATTGGGCCTGGGCTTCATTTTCCCTCTTTATAAGTCGTCAGTGAACCAGAAGGGTTTTTGGTGAGAAAGAAGTGTGAGCCATTGGTCTGAATGAGCTCTCTCCTGTCATCTCTTCATGAGCTGGAGGAACAAACCTCCTGAACACACCTTATTTGCATAGACACACCTACTTTGCCAAGCTGATCAATTTCTGCTGGTTTGGGTTAAAATTCACTTAAATCTTGGATGCAGGGGACATACAGTCACAATGGTCCCTCCTGGTCTTTGGGATCTATGAATTCATTAATCTATGAAGTGTTGTTATTCTTATTATGTGATTAAAGGGCAGCAGAAGTGTATTTAAAATGGCTAATTGGGGGTCACCTTAACTGAAAACACACTAATCATGGAGTAGTGAGTGAATACCAAGTGTAAGAAAGAGGGAGGGATTGTGGTGTGGGGAGAAATGTGCTTATAGCTGGTGGAGAGGCTCTTTGACTCCTTTTTAAAGACAGAACCAGACATACTCAATTGAGAATGATTGTCACTTCCCAGAGACCACTAGGGCTGAAATCCCTGATAAATGGGTCTAGGGGTTCAGCTATTACAGATTCAACAGAACTTTTGTCAAAACCTAGTCACTTTGCTTGGTAACCTCCTGGTGCTCCAGGGTCCACAGCTGCACAACACGGGGAATGCTGAAGCTCTGGTAGGAGCTGGGGATCTCTTTGCTGCTAAGCTCCCTGTTCCATAGTGGGAGTCTTGCGGCAGTGTGAGGCAACATAGACCCCGGCAGCACTGTCAGAGCCAGCAGGAACAGTTGCTCTCGGGGCTGGCTGGGATCCTCACTCTGTCAAACATGGTCAAGAAAGTTAAGCAAATTTGTTTTGTTTTTTGGAATGAACCCAAATTTGAAACACCTAAAATTTCTTTCAACCAAAAACTGTGAGTTTTGGCTGGCTCTAGATGAGTTGATGTACCCCCTTGTAGACCTCTATTAACCCCCAGGGGTACATGTATCCTTGGGTGAGAACCACTGCTCTACACTGTATGCCTATTTCAGGGCAGCCGAGAGGAAGTTGTTTCCTGAACTTCTCTCTGAACCATGTTGTCTTGTCCAAAGCCCACTGGTCAATAAGACTCTATCTATTCACTTTGGGCAGCTTTGTACCAGACCGATGATGTTTAATTAGTGTAGATGTTCAGGATGTAATCCTGGCTCCATGGAAATCAACACAAAACTCCCTTTGATTTCCATGGGGCGAGTATATCACCCTAGATTGTAATTTTCTCTAGACAAGGGTTTCTCAACTGTAAGGATGATACAGAAAATATGGAATTCATTACTACTAATAATAAATAAATAGAGATATCCCATCTCCTAGAACTGGAAGGGACCTTGAAAGGTCATCAAGTCCAGCCCCCTGCCTTCACTAGCAGGACCAAGTACTGATTTTGCCCCAGATCCCTATGTGGCCCCTTCAAGGACTGAACTCACAACCCTGGGTTTAGCAGGCCAATGCTCAAACCACTGAGCTATCCCTCCCCCCTAATCTCACATACATCCAGGCATAGGACATAATCCTTGACATAGTTTAGGCCTAAGTCCTTAAAACATGTCAAACAGCAGATGTGGCATCTGTGGTTCACAAAGGAGATAGATTGAGTAACAACAACAGTCAGTAGCGAACCACAAACTCTTTCTAAGTTGTGAAATAACTTCATCTTTGATCAGGTTCATCTATATTGTATGCTTTATAATTTGAAGTTTGTAACAGAGATAGAGTAAATCAAGGTGTGACAAGGCAGTATAATATATAATTTTAGAGATTATAAAAAATAAAATCTATTTTGAGTATGATGCAACAGAACCCTGCAGTTTGAGAAAGTTGCACAGCCACATAGACTGTAGAAATCAGTTTGGACAACTTATATATTGTGACAGACCCAGACCAGTGGGGTACAGGAGTCTGGTCCTATTGGGATCCAGGATGTGGATCCACTGCTAAAGGAGTCCCCCCCAGCCTAAGGGGGGAGGGTCCACAGGGCCTGGAGACCAAAAAATGACAGGGGACAACTAATAAAAGAACAGGGACAGGAGTGAGGTCAAAGGATCAAAAGAAGGGAACCAGACGGGGACACTGAGCTGAGAACCCTGGACAGCACCCACTGCTCCTCGAAGGCGTCAAGGGAGCCAGTGGACGCCGCCCAGAGGAACTCTGCCCGGATACGTGAACGAACGGAGGACCTGAAATAGGCCCCACAGTCACAGGAGACTCCATCGGCCAACCTCCTCACTCTGGTTTTATAGATGGCCAGTTTTGCTAGGGCCAGGAGGAGGTTGACCAGGAGGTCCCGTGACTTTGTGGGGCGACAGATAGGGAGTGCATAAATAAAAAGGTGAGGGGAAAAGTGCAACCAAAATCATAACAAATATCCTTGAGGAGCCGGAATAGGGGCTGCAGCCTGGCGCACTCTAGGTAAACATGCACCAGGGTTTCCCTCACGCCGCAGAAGGGGCAGGTGTCTGGGATGGGGTAAACCGCGCCAAGTACACGCCCGTGCTCATGGCTCCGTGAAGGAGCCGCCATCTGATGTCCCCGGTGGGCTTCGGGATCAGAGTAGAATAAAGGCTGGCCCACCAGGGCTCCTCACCCTCCAGAGGTGGCAGGAGGTCCCGCCACTTTGTATCGGGGCAGGACGCGAGGGTGAGGACATGAAGAACATGGAGCACGAGCGTGTATAGATGTTTCCTTGGCACGGTCTGGAACAGAACCGGCTGCAGATCGTGCAGCCGGCTCATGACGAAGGGACGTGGGGGGGGGGACCGATTGGGTCTATGGGGCAGGGGCCCGATGAAAAGGTCTGGAGGGCTCGGAGTGGAGGGTGGGCGGGGCGTGCCCTCTCACAGGACCCGGTCGAGATAGTCCCGAGCAGCGGGCAGCAAAGCGGCCCTCACCTCCTGAAGCACGCGCCGGGGAGTATGAGGTCTGGAGAGCCCCATGCGCTGAGCAAGCGTCAGGGGATCCAGCCAGTCTCCCTGGTAGTAGTCAAGGAGGTCTCCGACTTTGGTGACTTCTGCCAGGACCAACCTCTGGCGCACCATGGGGGACTCCGCCACCTGCACACGGAGCTGGGGGTTGTGTAGCAGGGGCTTCGCGAGGAGATCTGCCCCCACGGTGGCCGCCATGGACCTGGTCACTGAGAACAGTTTCCAGGTCCGGAGGAGGTCCTGGTAGAAGACCGGCAGCCCGGAGAGGTCTCGCGGAAGACCTCTCGGATGGAGACAAAAGAGCTGCCGGTCATATCGGAGCCCTCAGAAGCGGCGCAGGAAGGCGTGCGCCAATACGCTCCACGCCGGACTACCTGCACCGTAAAGGAGCCTCTGCAGGGCCTGGAGCGGAAGACATGGACCTGAGCATGCAAACACTTCAGGCCCTGCCCTCCCTCCTCCAGGGGTAAATAGAGAACCCCCGCAGAGA